ATGACTTTTTCTTCTGCAGTTGGCGGAGAAGGCGAAACACTCTTCAATGTCACAGCTCGGGTGAGTTCATTCCCCTGTCGAAGGTTTGGACGTGAGACCCGGCAAGGCTGGAGACGCAACCGATCCTGTGGGCAGCGGAGGTGGGGCGGAGGCACCTCCTGGCGGCGGAGTGATGCCCACCGCCCAACGGGGTACTCTGTCGAACGCCAGCGCCAATGCGCTGCCAGCTAAGGGCGTCATTGCTGGCGCTTCGCTTGGCAAGGCAAACAACGGCGGCAGCAGCATCCCTCAATGGGGTGCGTGCGGCGCGGCCGCGACTGCAGCTGGCGCTCCTGCCTTTGGCGTCTGTTGCTGTGGGCAGAGGCGAATATTGTGAGTAATATGATTTATTTTTTTTTTTTGCTGTTCTTGAATTGCCGGTGTAGCTGCTTCTTGGGCTTGTGTGTGCTGCGATTTTTTTTGTTGGTGTTTTTTTTTCTTTGTTCGTTATTGGAGAGTATCTATGCCTGTTTGCTTTTTGTTGTCTTCGTTTTTCTTTTTTTTTTGATTTTGCCTTGCCGGCGCGTCTGTGGTGGGGGTTTCCCTCGGAGTTATGGTGCGTAGGCATCGGTGGAGTTTTGTTTAGCGCCATGCATACGTGCGTGTTTTCGTGCTTTGCGGCTTGCACCTTTGATTAATGTGTTTTCCTTGTCGTTCCTTTCCTCTTTTCTTCCTGCGGGAAATGTGGCAGTGACGGTGGCCTCTGCGCGCCTGCAGGAATGTATGAACAGGACACGTGTTTCCGCGCCGCAAACACCCCACTTTTCGTCCAACTTTTTGGCCCTGCGTGCGCCGCGCCGCAGAACTCCGCTGCGAAGGAGGCGGGTATCCCATTGGTGGCGCGCACGCGGCCTGCATCCAGTGCCCGCCAGTGTGCGACCGCCCCGCCCCCTGTGCCCGCGCCGCCGCAGAACTCCGACACGGGCGCTGCCGCGGCCGACGTGCTGCCTGGCGGGGACGCGGCCACGGCGGAGACTCACGCAGACGCCGCGGTGGAGGATGCGGCCGCCGAGCGGGGGGAGGCCGGCGCGCCCGAGAGGTCCAAGCCGCCGTTTCGGCAGGTAATGCGGGAGCTGGAGCGGCGGTTTCAGGAGCAGATGGAGGTGCATCGCGGCCTTCAGGCGTCGATGCGTCAGCTGGATTTGCTCCGCGACGAGGTTTCACTGTTTCGAACAGAACGACGGACGGCTGCTCTTGCGGCGGCATTGCGGCGGCAGTCAAAGCCATTCGTGGAGCCCGCGGTGGCTGCAGTCACAGCAGCTGCGCCGGCGCCCCAATCCTTGTCGAGGCTGGCACAGCCGCCTATGCGCGGCGGTGCTCCCACCGCCGACCCACTGCTGGAGAAGATACTGAAGTCATACGCAGAGGAGCGCTCCAGCAAGGCTTCGCGGGCGGAGGAAGCAGTACAGCCGAAGGCCGGCAACACGCGAAGAACACTTCCAGTGGATGTGGTCCGTGCGCCGGAGGAGCCGCGGCCCTACGTGCGCGTCTACTATGTTCCTGTGGCGAAATCCCAGGTGGATTCACGTGGTGGGGCCTCTGTGAGCGCCTCAACCATTACAACCACGGCAAATGCCGTGCCAAGCACAGTGTCCTATACGGAGGACTTTGAAACCAGTGGTGGTGGTGTTTCAACCGACCTCTCGGTCGCAAGCGGTTCCAGCAATAACAGCGTCGCAACGAGCAGCGTGTCTGTTACACCCACCTCAAGTACGATAACGTCGTCCGCTTCCCAGAGCGTCGTGGATGTAAACACGACGGCAGAGGGGCCCTCCGTAGTTGATGAAGTAAGTGTCGGCGTGCGTGACTCAACTGGGGACGACATGCCTCTATGGACGACGCTGCGGGAGTTCTACAACGCATGTGGTAGCGCGAATCGCCTTATGCAGGCGCTTCTCGGCACCGACGGCAAATTGTCACACACGCAACTGCGAGATGAAGGTGCGGCTGCCTCGGAAACAAAGTTGCTCACGGACGCCAAGGACGAAGATGGGCGTCGTGTGTGGTTGTCAAGACTGCGACGTGACGTCGGCGATGTCCGGAAACTCCGCCGCTTCATTGACCACGTGAAGAAGAACATGAAGTTGCTTGACTGTCAGCGCAAGGCGCACGAGGCAAAGCGAAGGCTCCTTGTCAAGGCTCAGCGCCTGGCGAGGGCCCGCCAACGAATGCGCAAGGAAAAGAGTACACTGTCGGACGTCGTGGATGACATCGGCGACCTCCTCGAGAGCGAGGCCAACCGCAGCGACGATGGGGCGGTGATGGATGAGGTCGCCACGGACTCGGCTCCCAGCTGGGGCGGCGTTAGTGACGAGGTTTTGGAGGACGACGTCGTGGATGCTGCGAGCGCTTCCGACGTCGTGGAAGATGCGGTGGTGGACGAGCTGGACGGCGAGGGGGCGTGGGGCGGCGGCCGGCTCACTGACGGTGACGTGGACGTCCCTCAAGAGTTGGTGAGTGAATTGAGTTGGGCGGCGGCGGAAAGCGAGTACGCAAACGCGCTTGCCGAGACCAGCGATGTGGATGACATGCTGGAGGACGCCGTCCCGCTGCCAAGTGACGAGGAAGAAATGGGCGGCGTTGCAGAGGAACTGCCGCCGGCGCCGTTGGATGCCTCCAGCAGCCTGACAGACGTCGTCGACGATGTCGCGAATGCGCCTCCTGGCGCCGTTGCCGAGGGGGCGCCGCGGAGTTCGGCCGCGAGTTCCCACGGCGATGACGTTGAAGATGATGCCGCCGCTGCCTCTCTCTCGGGTTCCGCAACTTCGCAGGACGCCGACGTTTCCTCTCTCTGGCCGGCCTCCACTGCCAGTCGGTCGAGTGCCTCGGCGGGTGTCCAGGGACGCAGCGAGGGCGAGTACTACCACGATGCAACGGATTCCGCCGAAAGTGCCCTCGATGCCCTGGAGCAGGAACTGCGGGAGACGGCGTCACGCCGCGTGAGGGCCCTCTTGTCGGTTCATCCACCTCCCCTCACCCCGCTCTATGCCGCCGAGGAGGTGAACCCAACGTCAACCGGCAGCCCTCCGGGGGCTGCGTTGTTGGCGGCAGCCGTTGTGCAGCCAGCGGAGAGTGATGCAACGGTTGAGTTGCCGCGCCATAACGCGGTGCCTGGGTACGCTGCCGATGATCTTGTGGCCCAATTGCAGTGGAAGGAGCGTCAGTTGGCCCTCTTCCGGCAGCTACGACAGAAGACTGCCTGGGAGCAGGAGAGAGACAAGGAAGAAAGGGCTGCGACGGCCTCGTCGATGTCAACACCTGTGGAAGAGCAGGCGGATTACCACTGGGGCATGTTGGAGACCCTTCTGCAGTGCCGCTTCAGCTCTGCAGAGAACTACGCCCCTGCGGAAAACAGGCTGGCTGATGCTGCTAACGAGAGCAGCTGGACGGATGCCTACGATGACACCGCTGCCTACACCGGCTCAGATGTGGAATTTTCAGCTGGTAGTGAATGCTCTCTACAGACAGTCTGACAACGTCTGTCTCACCGCCTTCGCTTTTGACGATTGACAATGCTCTTCACCAGGGCTCTTTTTCTTTTCTTTTCTTTTGAGTGGGGGTTATTTGTTACTCATCCCCTTTCTGTTGTTGTTGATTGCCTTCATCTTTCGCATGACTACGACAAGCATAGACAAACTACCTGTGAATAGGTAAAAATGCATACAATTCTTTTTGATTTTGCTTTCAAAGCGCAATTCTCATTTACAAACGACTTGGTGTTTCTCCCCTCCCCCTCCCTCTCTCTCTCT